TAAATATTATTCACAAAGGGAAGCAATAAAGCAATTGTATTGAGCATTAACGTCAATCGATCTAAATTCGGTTTGCTAGTCTAGTCTGTATTTGGCATAGCTTTGGGTAAAAGCTGAAACGAAAACTTCAAGATAGATTTTTCATTTTTTTTTAATCCATTTTATTTTTAAACCTTAGGTATCGCTTTTGGGGGGCGCTATTGCTAAAAGTACAGCTAAGTGACGAACTTTATATTTGTATTAATATTCTCTCTCTCTCTCTCTCTCTCTCTCTCTCTCTCTCTCTCTCTCTCTCTACACACGCATATTGTGAAAATTAGTAAATAAAATTAATTTAGTTTGGGATTAATTTATGTGTTATATATTTTGAATAACATGAGATCATGACAACAAAAATGTTAAAAAATTAAAAAAAAAAAAAAAGAATAAAGAAAGAGAACAAAAAATTAAAAGAAACCAGTTCAACGGTTATGGCCACGTGTTATTCAAAATATAAATTAATCCTAAACTAAATTTATTTAAATACTAATTTGCATATATATATATATATATATATATATATATATATATATATATATATATATATATAAGAATAATTAATACAAATATAAGATTTGTCACTTAGCTGTTATATTCAGTACCCCGAATACAGTTTTTTGGGGGTTTTTTTTAGACGAACCTTTACTTATATTTCGAGAAATCGCTTCGAACGAGTTTGAGACTGGTCATACAAAACAATATTTAATATGTAATGACGTACAAGCATAGGGGTTACTTCGCTTTGACTGGAATTAAAGTCTTTACTAATGAGATATTTTTATCTGAACTCATAAGAAGTTGAATGAACTTACCGCTCAAAATGTTCACTGTGAGAATGTGTATGGTGGAACTTTGAATATTTACTTGAGGTTTCAAGAAATTTCTGTTTTGTACCAAATAAAATTTAGTTTTTGTATTTCTGAAAATAATTACAATAAATCTTGCCGCTAAAAGAAAATGTTCACCAAGAACAAATTTTGTTAAATAGAACTGAGTGAGAAAGTTTCTTCAATTATGTCCTGAAGGGCTGAAAATGTATTCTGTAAACTTGTAGCTTCAGGAAAAATCTTTTTCTTTAAGTAATTTCTTGCTGGTGAAGAATTGGAAAAATTTGTAATATCCAAGTTAAATTTCTTTAGCGTGGCAACGATGTACCCGGTTGACTTTTCTTTTGTCTCATTGTGAAAGTGTCGAAAGTTCGCATACTGTTGATTAGTTGAAAGTTCGTATATTGATGATTGTAATGTTGTGTAATGTTTGTAATTAAGCTTAGTACGTACGTGTATGAGTGCGAGTGTGAATATGTTTTATCTGCCCACAAAGTGTCGTAACGCGATTTCTTAAACAGCTACATTTTTCTTAAGTGAAAGAAATCACAAGAGAGTAGAGGAAGAACGAACTTGTGTCTGGTATTTATAATCAACGTAATCACGTGATCGGCTCCTGGAAGTATGTCTAATTTTTTGCGGGAAAATTTGATTTGATCACGCGCTGGGAAAAGACTTGTACGTGGGTGGATTGCATCTAGCACTTGTGTGTTTATTGATCAATTAGAAGTTGAGGTTTTCTGAAAATATGTATGAAGCTAGATATGCTCTGTGATCCGCTTTTTGCACAGCTTTACACAAAAATTGACATTGTTAAAAAAGTGGTAGCGAGATGCTAAAATACCACGAGATTGAAACTTAAAAGAATAGAAAGACACCAAGGAACCAACATATCAAGCAATAATCTGTATATCAGGGCTGATACGGACGTCGCCCCCGCAAGATTTTTGAAGAAAGGTGTGAACAGCCAAGACAATGAGGGGACAAAGGCAGAGGTTTAAAATTAACATACATCGATTTTTACTTTTTACTATATGTACATGTGTGTACTGTCAGGGGAAAATGCCTGGATCGGTATCGGGTCCGGGATGGCTGGTTCGGCCAGGAGAAAACTGATTGGTTGTATCGGCGGAGGCTGCTGGGTGTAGAGTTGTCGGCGGTAGCTGGTCGACTGTTGGGCTGAAGAGTTGTCGGAGGCAGTAGCTGGTTGATTGCCGGGCTGAAGAGTTGTCGACAGCAGCAGTTGGTTGATTGACAAGGTTTGACGGTTTGTTGAGTCGATTAGGGTGAGTCCCTAAACAGGGCCTAGTCAGTGAGATAATAATACGTTCTCAAAGCGGATCGGTTACGGAAGCGGAATCGCGCCGAAAGGGCATGACTTGATGAATCCGAAATCCCTAAACAGGGCCGAGTCAGTGACGTGATACGACTTCCAAGGCGGACCAACAGCGGAAACGGGATCACGCCGAAGAGTATCTCTCGACGAAGCGCTGCCTGTCCCCGAGCAGCTTGGGTTGTGTTAAAAAAAAGGGCTAACATTATATGGTATGGTTTGTTCAAGTACTCCCTGGCTAGAGGGAGTAGAAAACTGTAGATATAAAATTACTCCTCATGTTGTTCCATGTTTGGTTAGCACTGCCATATCCAGTGTCTCAAGATTCGGTTTTGGCTTCAACCATATTGGGTCAGCCGTCCAGTTACTCGCCCGCTGCTGACCATAACTCTGCAAGTAAAAAAAAAAAAAAGAAGGGTTTTGAAGGTCAAGATCGTTTTTCTAAGGAGCGGTCTCGACAGATCTGTGCAGAACATACCTTACTTTTTTCCAGGATGAATCATTTGTGTTATAAAATGAATTATTGATAATTTTAATTATCCTCATTGTATGCGCGATATTTTTGTATTTCCCATTTTTTTCTGTCTGAGGATAAATTCTAAATTATAAACAAGCGAAGTGTAAGTAGGGAAAGCTCCTGTTTGCTGAGTGAGAAAAGAAGAAAAAGCATTGCATTAAATGGTAGCGACTGCTATGCTTTTCCACGCCCACAATTTATTCGTCTGCGATTGGCTAGTAAATCAATACTGCTTTTCTATAAGACAATTTAGAAATCGCAGCCATCACTTTGAATTTTTCGGTCGTGAACTTGCTCGCATGTTTCTTTGATACAAAATCAGTAATTGGTCAAATTTTAACCAATCAAACATTTTAGTACTAAATCAATTTTTCCCGCGTTTTAGCTGGGAGCCTATCGGTAGCTTTAAAAGAAGCAATTTTTCCACAAGCCGCTAGTAGAGTCCAGCTATTTTCGCCTGTCCACACAAATCTACGACTTTACTCACAACCTTTCAAACACACACAGATTTTTGTAACACCTCTGTGACTCATCCAAGTTCATGAACCAACACTCTATTAATTTCTCAAAACAACACATTTCTTAATTAACTGTATTCTAATCTAACAGCAGACTCTATTCAACATAGAATCCTGAACATTCTTATTCAAGAGAAACTCTTCCGAACATTCAATCATAAATCAGAATACAGTTGAAGGGGAACAATTTTTTCCCTTAATCATTACATTTCATTGCATGATTGTTTTGTATATTATATTTCAGTATATATATATTTGTTGATCCACATATGGAGTTTCGTTGTTTTTTTCTTGAATCGTTAAATGTACAATAGATACATGCGCTAAGAACACGCATCACGAAATTGCTTTCCAGTTCTATTCCCGTTGAGTGGGAAGCATGAAAGAAAAAGAAAAAAAAACTAAACAAAAAACAAACAAAAGAGTGGGAGGTCAAAGAGAGAAAGGCAGAGAAAAGTAGAAATTTTTGTCTCATGTGGCTAAGATCAAACACGTACCTATTCAAACGATTTAAAAGCCTTCCTTTGAAGTCGGATAGAGACAAGCATTGGCTTTTTTTTTGTCAATTCGCAAACACCTCCAAATTAAAAAGTACACAAAAAATATAGAAAAAGGGGAGTGAAACTGATCCCCCAAATATTTCCACATAATTTTCTAATAAAACAACTTCTCCGGTATAAAATTAAAATAAAATAATAAATACTGAAACTTTTACAGTGTAACCCGGATATAAGAGAAACCTGGATATAAGAGATTTTCTCTGGTCCCGACAACTCTCTTATATCCGGGTTACACTGTATATTTAAATCACAGTTCCCTGATTTTTGGCAACGTTTTAAAAAGCAGCAGTAGCGCTTATTTGCTTTTATTTTGGAAAAAAAAAAACTAAAAAAAAAAAAACCGAATCTATATTTCTTTTTCTTTTATGGTACATTATTTAAGAAAAAGAAGTTGGCAAGATAAAAAAAATCTTATAAGGATTCTCTTCATACACATATTTTTTACTAATTGTCTTTTTTTTCAGGACAATATGTATGGTTGCTTCCCGTAAATAAACTGCTACTGAAAATAAATTGCAAAAAGTAAATAGTTAAAAAAAAAAACTTGAATGGCGCCAATTTTAAATGTACAAATCGGTAAATGGTCAACAATTAACCGAGTTGTTCGACATTCTCTACTCGCAAACAATTTACTTCACTTAAAGGGCTTTATTTAAAAATAAGTTTTACTTTTAATTTATTTTTTGTTATTTACTTATTTATTTTTCCAATGAATTTTTTCTATATTTTGGTTTAAAGATGCTTCAAAGAATTTTATTCTGTAGAAAAGCGTTCTGAGGATGAAAGTACAATAAAATATTTTTAATTTTTTCTATTCTGTTTTTCATTAAATAATTTCTACATTTTATATTTTCTTTACCTTCCCGGGTTTTTAAGTAAATATTTTACAATTTATGTCTAAAAAAACATCTTTATTTCAGCTTCTACACAGAAATCATATCCTACTCGTTGAGCCCCTTAAAGCATTAATATACCAGTAATTAACAAAAAAAAAAATGTCCTCAAAACACGCCTAAAACAAACTAAAATAAATATTTCATACTCTTATGGATAGATGCTTATCATTCTATTTAATAAGAAACATTTTAAAGAGTAAGAAAAATTTCAAAGGAAATGAATTAATTCAGAGTAATCTGCCCTTGGCGTCATTGCATTTGTTTTTACTTCGAAACAACGCGGGACGTTTGATCATTTAGTTAAAAATACATGCAACAAAATATTGTTTCGGATTATACACCGATATCTTTTAAAAAAAAGGTAAGGAATTACATTACACATATATATTTACGAATCAGTACTTAATTTCTATCTAATTTACTCCTAATTTGGATAATTTGCAACGGCTAAACTTTTGGTTATTTAAACATTGTGAGTTGATGTCTTCGCCTCAGGTAGCAAGTCCGGACTTGTTTATTATAAATAAATTAATACTAAATAGTATAGTTACTGTGGCGAAATCTTCTCAAATATTGAATTGCTGTTTCTTTTCCTGTTGTATGATTAAATTTATTAATATAGATTGCCATTAAATAGTAAACAGTGTATTTTATTTTAAAGAAATGATTTTTCTTTCATTGGTTCAGTAATAAACAACAGGTGTTTTTATGACGTTGATATTTTTTTTTTTAATTACAAATGAAAAGAAAACGAATTTTTTATTTTGAAATTAAATTTTTTCTCCTTATTCTATATTTTATTTTGCAATTAATTTGAAATGATAAAAAACTTTATTCCAAACTTAGATTTATTTGAGTTTATTTTATTTTAAAAGTTGGTATTCCTTTCTCTTTCAAAGTTGTACATTTCGTACCTTGTATTAACCCCCCCCCCCCAAAAAAAAAAAACTAAGGTGTTGTAAAGTTCTGTTAAACCATTTTATTTTTAAATTACTATTATTAACATAAGTTATTGTAAAAGAAAAATTGGATCTCTTTTTTTTCTTTTTCGATTGAAATTATTCCCAGATGAAATTTATTGTCAAATTATAAAAAGCAGTTGAGTTGTAGTAAAAAAAAAAAAAACCCCAAAAACTCATACAATTATTTAAGGTTTTTATTTTAAAACGTGTTTTTAACATGTGGTATGCGCAAGAAAGATATTAATTTTTATTCTTTTTCATGTCTTTTCAAGGTGACGATAGCCTGTTGCTGTCAAGTGCTGTAAAAAAGTGTTTTGTGTTGGTCCACAAAAAATAAACAAGACAAGCAAGAGTCAAGAAGACGTAATAATAATAATCAAAAGAAGTCGTACCAAGTAAAGTACACCCCAATTTTTTTTCTATCAATTAAACTAACTAAAAAGAATTAAAGTTTTTACTGACTATAAAATTTAGATTCAATTTTTTATAATATGTTTTAAAGAGTGGGGATCATTTTTGACTGTTTTTTTTTTTTTTTTTGCTACCTTGCCGAGACGCATTGGTTTAGCAAATTAGTTTCGCTGGTAATTTTTATAAAATTGAAAAACATTGTACGACGATAATTAGTTTTTTAATAGTTTGTTGGCACAAAGAGCCTTGTGTATTAAATGGGTACAATAATGCCACAAATATGGAATTCCAGGGAGGATCGAACATGTTGATTGCAGTAGTAATACAAGACTAGATTGCTAACAAAACAATTTTGTTTTCCATGGATTGGACTAGAGACACCTAACATAATGAAACGACAGTTGAGTAATTGCTTCCAGACAAATTGTTGTTAAAGTAAACCATCACTATGGTTGTCCCCGGCATCTAGTAAACTTGGTTTAGTCAAATGATTATTAAAAAAAAAAAATACAGTTCAAAGATGAGGCTACCACTGCGATCGAACTCACAAACAAAAGTCAATTTTTCTGCTAAAAGAATTAAGTAATGTTTGTTTCAAATTACATGAAGTATTACATTAAGTTTTAATTTTCTAATTTTCCTAAAATAACTTTTGAAAGAAAAGTATAATTGAATTTTACAAGAGTTTTAAACAGAGAATTTCACTTTTGTTTACAAAATTGTCAAAAAATGGCTGCTGACATAATCGATTTTATGCAAATTTTGAAAAAAAAAAAAAGCAAGATTTAAAAAAAAATATTTTTAAAATGTTCAAAAAATACTTCGGTCTTTCCTAAACATTTTTATTTAGACGCTAAAAAATTGTTTAATCAAGTTTGGGGCCCCGTTTTTTCATCAGAGTATGCTCTTTTTATTGAATTGCTATGTAAATTATTTATAAATTGATCCCCCTATGAAGGATAAAACAAAATATGCTTATTTACGGCGTGATTTCTTAAAAACTGAACGTTATTGGAAAAAAAAAATTTTTTTGTATTATTCTGGAGTGCTTTAGCTTAAATCGATATGAAAAAAAAACTCTAGATTACGAATTTAATTTTTTACATTATTTTTTGTTCGTGAATAACTGTAAAAAATCAAGTGATAACAAAAAATACAATTTTGAATTTTTGTTTGGTACAGTATTTGCTAAATTTAAAAAAAAAAATACACGGTAGTAAATTTAAATATAATCGTCAAAAACATTTTTAAATTAAAATTATTGAAACATCTCTGGTTCAACATGGTAATACCCCATCATAATTCTCTAAAGAAACTGAGGTGAGGTGTAAAGAAAAAAAACCAATTGTTTAAAAAAAAACCCTTCTTTCCTTTCCTTAGTAAAATGGCGCTTTATTTACCATTTTTTTATGTTTTAAAGATTCTGGATTCATTAGAATAGTTTCTCTATTTACCAATCTCCCCACAAGGCAAAATGTGGCACAAAGCCAGTTTTTAACGAGGGACGTACCGAACCCGTAGGCTCGGGCAAAAATTACCTGTAAATCCCAGGGTCGGGTTTATCTACTTTCCCAAACGAGACTGTGTGCCTTTCGGCATAGCCTTGTTTGTCTGGGTCCATCTCCGCTCGGAAGCAGAGAGTTCGACAAGAGAAAGCCTCCTCTCCTCTGTCTCTCTCTCTAATAACAACACCGATATTTTTAAAAAGTTATTTATTCGTCGCATGAATAAACTAAGATTTTTTCCCCTATAAAACGAAGAAGTGATACTGTGTCTGTGTACACTGCAGCCCACAAGGATGTTGGGCAATCCCGCCTAAACAAAAATATGCTTCTTGGCCTCAGAAGGCGCTTCTCAGTTTGTTGCCTTGGTAACCAATTGCCGCCAACATTTTTAAAAGTAACTGTCTCTACTGCCAACGTGATTTCTATTTAGATTGGTTACTTTTTAATCGTAGTTTATCACGTTTACATGGTGCGGTTCATTTAAAACTTTACCTGTTAGTTTGAAAGTTAAAGTATATTGTTTTTAACTTGTTTGAAAGCCACAAACTTAAATTTGGGAAAAGGGTGAAGAAATTACAGTGTGGCCTTAAAGTTTTGTCACCCCTACCAAAAAAACGTAATGGGGAAAATAGAAGAACAAGTAATAACGGTAATACAAAGTACATGTAACAGTTGTAACTGGATTCAATTTATTCACCTTCATTGGTAAAGGTTTGTATGCACACTGTCATTTTGATGGCACAAAAAAAAATGATGCGGCGCCAGTATCGTTAGAGACTCACTAAAAAGTTAAAGGGTGACAAGACTTTCGGACCACCACATATTTTTTTTATAAGTGAAAGTTGTGCCTTTCTCTTTAAATATATTTTTTTTTAAGTGGTAAATTAATTACTTTTTTAAATTCTCATAAAATGACAAAAATGTTACAGAACTAATTTACTTCATTAAATTATTTTACTATTTAAATATTTTTTTTACTTAAAAATACACAAGAAACAAGTTTTTTACTTTTTTTAGTTGAATCTCAGCAATTTTTGTAAATGTTTGTTTTTTTCAGTGAAACTTTTTTCATTTTTTCTTTTTGTAAAGTTTAACGTTTTTTTAATGAAAATTCTAAAGATTTTTAAATGATTCAATTTTTCAATCATCAAGCATTAAAAAGAAATTTTCTTTTAGAAAATATATTGCTAATTCTTTTAATTCCTTCAGTTTTCCCTGAATTAATAATACTTTGGCGAGGCTCTGTTAAAAAGACCAGTTTCCTTCCTTTAGTTTAAATTTCTAATTTTTATAATCTACATCACTTAAAAATGGCCGTCTCGTAAAAAAAAAAGTTTTAAAACAATGTGATGTTGTACATTTATCGATCACGCAGGCTGTTCTCTTCGTAATTAAATGAGATTTAATGTTATGGGAACAAGAAGCATTACTTTCTAATAATCGAAATATTGTCATGGCAACGGAATATGTCATTATAAATTCTAATATGCTAATTATTTCATTTGCTCTTTAATTTAGTATTTTATTTCATTTTTTTTTTGTATTAGCTTTGTTTGATGATTTAAAAACAGAATTCTTTCTTAGATGTGACAATAGTTAAACCATATAGAGAAAAATCCTAGATTATGCATAGCATACTGAAAATTAAAATTCAATTCAATACAATTAGAAAATTTAAAATTAACCCCTTTTTATGTTATGGGTAAATTACTAAATACATAAAGTTTTTTTTTTTACATTTTTTTTTTATTGGTAATGTTTAGTAAATTTCAAGAAGTTTCTATCTGAATTTCTGGGATGAGAAATTATGATTATTTTACCGTGGATTATTCTCCTCATCAACATAGCAGAAGTTGTCCCAAGTATCACCTACCTACCTACATCTTCCCACCCAGACAAACAAGTGAAGCCGTGAATGAAACACCTATGGGAAACTGTTCATGTTCCTATTTCTCAACATGGCATTTGTATTTCATCTTATTGCCTTATGAACTGCAGCAGATTACGGTGCGCACCAACGAAATCGAGAATTGAAATAAAACATGGGGTAATCATTGGCTGGTCAGTAGAAAACTTGGGTGAGGGTCACATTGTATGTTTACAGCCTCGATGCTGTCAGTATTTCTTCAAATACGAAGAAGCATCAAATTGACATGCTGTAATTATTGTTGGCATGGTATTTCTTTTCTTGATCTACTGTGCACTTAGTTATTTTTCTGAATGACTGGAAATGCAACAACAAAAAATTACAGTATAAAATTGATTTGTATTAAGAGCTGAGCTGTTAGACCAACATAGCAGAAATTGTCCCAAGTATCACCTACCTACCTACATCTACCCACCCAGACAAGCAGATGAAGCCCTGAATAAAACACCTCTGTATAATATGGGAAACGATTTATGTTCTTATTTCTCAACATGGCATTTGTCTTTCATCTTATGAACTGCAGCAGACTCTTTCCCACCTTTCAGTATTTCTTCAAATACGAAAGAAACATCAAACTGACATGCTGTAATTATTGTTGGCATGGTAATTATTTTCCTGATCTGCTGTGCACTTAAAAACTTATTTTTCTGAATGACTGGAAATGCAACAACAAGAAATTACAAGATATCTGCACATTCATTTGCATTTAAGGACACCAAATAATTTGATTCATTCTTATTTACAAGTAAACTATTTTCCTCATGTTTGTTGTTATCACAATGTTTCAACCATTGTTCTCTCTGACCTTCATCAGGTGCTTGTCAATCCTGGTAACCTTCAAGGAACCCTTTATTTAATTTATGGCAGTTGATTGTTCTTGTTCTACTGATCATGCCTGTGGATATCTCGTCTTGTTCTTATTTATTTATTATTTATTTACAGCTCAGTTATTGCTTATCTCATTTCCACTAAGTCCAAGTGCACACTGACCTGCTTGGTGATTGAACACACAATTATTATGTCACCAAATTCACAAACCACTGCTTTAATTCACCAGGCTATTGTCCCACTAGTAGTGCAAACTTTTAATTGATGGAAACAAGGCTAGCAATAACCGAGCAGTCCAAAATAAAAACAAGATGAGATATTCCTAGACATGGACAGTGGGATAAGAACAATCTAACCATGTAGTTTAAATAAAGTGTTCTGTTTGAAATTCTTTGAAGTTTACCTGGATCAGCAAGCACCCAATGAAGACTGGAGGGTATAGTGGCTGAAAAGTTGTGACAACAACAACAAAGATGAGGACAATAGTTCATGTAAAGAAGGAATTTCTTTTTTCTTTTTTAAGAAGACTGAAGAAAAATCACTATTTTTATGATTATTTAAAAATTTGATTTTGGTTTAAGGCCATATCACGTTGAAACACCAGTTCCCATACCACCACTAAAGTTAAGCAACATTGAGTCTGGTCACTACCTAGATGACAGTTTGGGAATACCAGGTGTTCTAAGCTTGGATGTGTAGGTGGTGTGATGGATAATGACTTGGAATTGTTAAACGGCAGACTGAGTTTCAATTTCAATTATATTCATTTATGCACAAATACCATTGGGAAAGGCATGAATTCACCTCTTACTCCAGCTATGATTTAATTAGTAACACTTGTATCACTAAATTATTCTTATCCACCCCCGCCCCAAAGTTCTTACAATCTTATATTTTTTGACTTTAAATAACCTCTACGATGTTGATAAGCCATAGAAAATGAATCCGTCAATAAATCAAAAACATCTGATTTTAATATTAAATATTTAGGTATGAACAAACGTTTTTGATATAAAAAAGCAAAAACACTGAAATCAATGTTCCACTTGTAGTTAAAACTGACATTTTTAAAAAAATTGTTAAAAAAATAAATTTAAGTTCATAAAACCTCATTACAAGGGATAAATATATTTCATATCAAAATTAGAACATTTTTAAATGTCTTCTCATTACACTATCAAATTTAATTTGAAATGAAAACAAATTTGTGAATTTTACCATTGCCATATCCACTCCAATACTTAATGTCTTAAAAATATTTGCTTACAATCTTTCTATAGATTTAAATATTTTTAGTTGTGTATTGAATTTTTTTTTCTCTTAAGAAAGATTTATGACTCTGTAAAACCAATGATTGTGTTTTCATACAACAAAAATTATTTTTATTGTTGCACATTTTCAGAATGTCTCTGGTAAGACGTGGCAAGCATTCCTATCTGACCCACAACCGACAAAAAAAGAAAAAGAGTGCTATCAAAAAACGGCCTGCATGGGATGTAAGTAAACAACTATGTATTTATGAAAGTTAAAAAGTTTATTTTGAGATGTGCAAGCAGGAAATAAATATTTATTATACTGTTTTCTTTTTTTTTTTTTTTTTTTTTAATCATTTCATCCCAATCAAGGTAAAAAAGTCACTAAGATGTATGTGTTTACTGAGTGTGGAAGAATGTGAAAAAAAAGAAAAACATTATTAAAGAGTGAAGACAATAAATGAATTGGAATTAAGACAGAAGTTAACAGTTGACATTGCATTTAAATTTTTGAAGATCAAAGTTAAAACTGGGAAGCAAGAAAAGAGTTTCACAGGCAACTAGTGTGAAAGAAGAAGCTATTAGCATAGAACTTACATTTACATTTAGCCATTTCTAGTGTAAAATGATGAGACCTACCTGCCAATCTAGTACTGTGTTTAAATTCATAAAATTTAGTTAACATTGAGGAAAGTTCATCAGAACAATTACCATGAAAGTAAAGGTACAAGGAAGTTATGTTACAAGAAAGTTGTAGTGGTATTGACGGCATAAATCAACCCGCACATTTTTTTACTTTACGAATGTGTAAGCAAACAAAAAACAAACAAGAGAAAGAACACGAGAAAATATCTTTTCATAACAGGTACAATATTTGTATTTATAAATGACAACAGTTTTACAATAACTATTAATATGAGTTACTTCCCTTTGACTGGGCTAAAGTCTTTACTACTAAAAATATTTTTTTATCGGAGCTCAAAAAAAAGTTGAAATGTCACTCAAAAAGTTCACTGAAAGAGAGTTTAAAGAATCTTGTAAAGCTGAAAATATGTTGATAAACTTTTAGCTTTAAAGAAGTTGGAGAAGTGAATGTTCCGTTTGTTTTCGTTGCTCGTAGTTGAATGTGTTGTTCGTACTTAAGTTTTGTAAGATTCAATAACGTGATTGAATAGTTTTAGTAAGTTGCAGAAGTTGGTGAGTGAGTTGTTTGATTGATATTTTAGCTTGAATTACAGCGAAGTTATTTCGTGTTAAAGAACTTGAGATTCTAATTTGTACTTCGCTGCAGTAATGATACAAGCGCCGTGAACTCAGTTAGCAAATGCTAGTCGTCGTAAATTCTCACTGACTGGGTTCGCTCATACCTTCAATTTATGTTTTTTAATCACGTGACTGGATTCTGAAAGCATTGTTTTTTCGTCAGGTCAAAAACTAGGTTGATGTTATTCGGATGTAGTGGTGAGCAGGTAAATTGTTTTTTTAATATTTGTTAACCACTCAGAAAGCGCCTTACAAAACTCAGTCTGGAGCCTGATATGTTTTGTGTTGCTTATTGAGAACAATGTACGTGAAGATATATGAGATAATTTTAATATTTATTGTCCAAGGAGAAGTTAAGGTTTTCAGAAACCTGTATGAAGCTGTGATCCGCTTTTTGCATGAAAATCGACATTGATGTAAAAGTCGTAGCGGAAAGCTAAAAAATGACTTAAGCCAATTTTGGTACAAAGTCCATTTTTTGGTCAGAAAAATGAAATTCAGATACCCAGAAAAAGTGTCATGAAAGAAAACTCATAAGGTTGGCTTTGTTTGGATCTGAAAATGGTCATAACTTCAGCTTGTGAGTAGTTAAAACTGTCATAAATAATGTAGGTAAAGTAATATTTTAATTTAATTAATATATCTTTATAGGGACCTCCACAAAAAATATGATATCTAAGGTTTCAAATGAATTTTTTAAAAATGAAAAAGCATACATGAAGCTTTCTTTTTAGCTTTAATTGAAAGCTAAATGATTAAATTTACTATTTCCAGTGAGCAAAATACTCTGGTGTATTTCAACTAGAAATTATATTCATTAGAATCTCAACTTTTAGCTTGCTTTCAGAAATCATTTCAATTCAGCCATTTTTGACACATTTGTAAACAAAAGTTAATTCTTGGTTTTAAAAATCTTCCAAAAATAAAATATACTTTTCTGAAATGTTGTTTGAGGACTATTAGCTGATTTAAAGTATAATTAATCCGATTTGAAAAAAAAATTTTTTTACTTTAAGTTTAAAATAACAGAGAAATGGATTTTAAAACAAACAATAGTGTGATTAAGTATTTGTCAACACCTTGTAAATTACTTGATGAGTGATTTATGAGGTGTTGACAGTTTTGTTATTGCTCTAAAGAAGCCTGATCTGTTAAAACATAATTTTAAAAAATGACGGGTGAACGCTTTTTTTATATAATTTTTAAGTACTCAGTAATCTTAAAAATGTTGGAAAATATTCTTGTAATCTAATTTTAGTAATGTTGAATTTAAATTTACTATTGTCATCACTCTTATTTTCTGACTGTTGTTTATGGTTGACCATACTTTCAAACAGTGGCATGTTCCATATATATAAAAAAAAAAAAAAATTTCTTTTAAAAAGTTTTGGTGCAAAAAGATTTTATTGAGCTTTTCAATTTTTGATTTGTGAATATAGTTTCCACTTAGTTACAATATCACCTAATTGGAAGGAAGTAATGCAGAATTTTAAATGATTTAAATTATTATAATATATTATAACTGAAATTTTAAAAAATGAAAACAGTTCCTGTAAAAATTCATTATTAATTGAAAAAAATTTTTTCTTGAGACAATAGTGTCCTTAATAAATCTTATAAATGTAATTAAAAGCATTTCCAATTAAATAATGTCATAGTTTTATTGCATTTTTTTTATTTTACGATTTGTATTTTTTCTCTTCACATTAACACTTTGAGCCCTGCGTTCCTGAACAATTTTAACCCTTCTGCCTGGGCTCCTGAGTCAAAATTCACAAATAATTGGTATATAATGTTTCACGGTAGATATAAAAATAGTTACAGTTGTTTACCCACTATTCAACCAGTGGCTGGGCATTGTCGTTTTTCTCTACCACCGGTAAACTGGTGGTCAGGGCTCAAAGGGTTAAATTCTGTTAAATTTACAGAACGTGTTTTGTTCATTTATCAAAGAACTTTTCTCTCCCCTCAAGCTCTCAAGCTGACTACCAACAACTCGATTGTAACCAGGAACCAGAAGTGAAGGGTTACACAATCTGTAGGAGATTGATTTCACTGATTGTATCACAACAACAGAATTTGAGTCCAACTACTAATGAATGCTGTCAAACAGGCAGAGGTGGAACTAGAAAGGCTTAATCTCTATTCAAATGAAGTTACAGAGAAATCTACAGCCTTGTTGGCACTTGTTCCTGAGCAGGACATAGTCCGTTGGTATTGACAAATTACCCAATCCACCTGGTTATATCTGGTGCAGTAAACAAAACGTAATTGAGTACTATGATAAGGATATGACCACACCCCCATCCATCATGTTATGCTTGTGTTCATTTGTATAAAATAATTTCAGCTTTCATTTTTACTTTATGCTTTTTTTTTCTTTACACTATTTACATTGTTCAGACTGTTGTCCTCATCTTTGTTGTCATATTCATAATGTTTCAGTCAGTGTATGCTCCGGCCTTCTTCAGGTGATTGGAATTTCAAATCAAACCATTTATTTTGTCCACCTGGGTAGAATGTTCTAGTTCCATGTGCCATAACTTTCTGGATATCCCCATTTCTGTTTATTCCGTTTAGTAATTAAATTCACCAAGTTTTTGTTCACCTCTACTGTGGCTGGGTATTGAACTCACAATTCTTTGAGTCAAATCACTGGATTGCTTCAACCAATGGTTTTATTCACTGGGCCATGTAGTTTTGTTCAAAATTTCAATTGCTTGAAGAAGTCCAGAGCATACAGCAGCTGAAATGTCACGAATATGACAACAAAGATAAGGACAACAGTCCAGACAATGTAAATATTGTAAATAGTTACTTCATCTCAGAAATATAGACAGCTTTTTTCTTGTATATTTTATTTACATTTTTGTCAAGTATCGATTTTTATTCTTCTTTATGTCTGTTTGTATTGATAAACAAAATGTGTTTAATTTGTAAATGAAGAAAACTGCACTTGTTTATCTTTACCTATATTTACTTTTTCCAAGCATTATCTAAGAATCTTGAAAAATCTGACAATTTAATCCATAAACAGTTTGGAATTTTGAAGTCTTAACCGCGGGTTTCATGACCAAAATGATTATGGCATAATCCATAAAAGACAATCTGTGTTACAAAAAATGTGTTTAAGTTTTATTAAAAGTTTCCTTATTTCCTACCAAAGAAAAAGAAACGAAACTGTCCATTGCAAGGTCAGCTGCTAAGAAATTTGGTTCACGGTGTCATGTGAGAGAAATTTTCTCTTCAGAATCTATCTTAGATATCTATAAGTCTACCATTCGCCCATGCTTAGATATTGCTGCCATATATGGTCTGGTATCCCTGCCATTTACCTTGAGCTCTTTGATAAAATCCAAAGAAGAATGAGCAATATTATTGGTGCTGATTTGGTGGCTCAGCTTCAGTCACTTTCCTATCACTGTAAGGTTGCCTCTTTGTGTCTTTTGTATAAATACTTTGATGCTATTTGTTCAGATGATCTCTTTGCTATGGTACCAAAACTTTATGAATTTAAGTGCAGTACTGGACTGGCATCTAGATCTCATCAATTTACAGTTGAGTTGTCTTGATGTAGCTGTAAGTTCTATGCTAACAGTTTCTTTTTTCATACTTCTTGCTTGTGGAACTCCCTTCGGGCTCCATGTTCTGCTGCCAAATTTAATCTGCAAAAATTTAAATGCAATGTCAATCGCTATCTACTGTCCTCTTGATTATTCTTTTCACTTCCTGTTCATTATTAATGTTTCTGTTCTATAATTCTTCCATACCCTGTTGTAACCCCTTGTGTCTTAGTGGCTTCACTGGCTTGCATGGGGTGATACCAATTTAAAAAAAAATCATACTGTATCTAATACCCTGATGGTTGGTAGTTGGGTTTGGGTAGGTCTTGTACTAAATTAGAACCTACTAATAGTATTAGTATTAGATTTAACACAAACGTTTGTGTTTAACACACTCATCCCCCAATGGGCCCCGTATGTGCATGTTACATGGCAGGAAACATGATACTTATTCATTTCTATTTCATACTAATGGTTGGAGGGTAGTTGATTTAGAAAGTTATGATAAAAAACAAAAATAAAATGATTGATGATTTTTTTTTTTTTTTTTTTTTTTACATCTTATTAATCTTTTGTGAGTTATTGTCTGTTATGATTGTGCTTGTCCCCCTTGTTAGTTCACACTACTGTTACACCCATCCAGTACCTCATAAATAATTCCATTTTGATTGCATGGAAAGAGGGGAAAAGACCCTACTTGGTTTCAGTGAGAAAATGAATGAATGAAAGAAAGACAGCAAGATAGAAGTGCTTAACAGTTGTTTCAGTGAAATGGAAAATGTCAGTTTCAAAGCTTTTAATTTGTACCCACATTAATGACCAGCATTCACATTCATAATTGTTATTGCAATATTTTGTTAAAGTTGTTAAGCTCAAATATTTAATGATGCAATAGGGGAATTTCTACAGATATTTTATTGTCACGGAATTAGCCGAATCATTAACTTAAGAATTAAGATTTATCAGAAAATTTAAATAGGAAAACCGTGAAATTTTCACAGATTGAAATTAGTATTTCTAATTGTAGGAAATTGCTTACAGTACCCGGTGTTTCCAAGCAGACCTCCACCTAACTACCGACCAACATAAAAATAAAATGAAGTAGATGTCAAGAAATAATAATGAAAAGAATCAGATAGCTTAAGTCTGACCCAAAGCAATAATAGCACTTGTAATAGCTTGTTCTGCAAAATGAACTTCCTATTATTGCTGGCAGTGTTGTCTGATTTATAAATAAATAAATTCCTCATATAAAGTGTTTTGCTGAACAACTTAGCTGAAAAATGAGATCTGGTTTTTAGTCATCAGGTGAGACTGTAAGTCTAGGTTTCATTTACCAAGATATCATTTAACTTTGCTGAAGCCTGTTTTACCTTAAGCAAATATAAAATTCCACAGATAAGCAAATATCAAATTAAAGAATTAATGACATTTTTATTTTTTTGTTTTAAGGATTCCCTGACAGACTTAACATCATATCGAGCAAATGCTGACGATTTGGTAAGTGAAATATTTTTACATCTGAAATAATGAGGTGCATGTATATATTGGTTGGACACAAAAGTTCCTATCCCAGCACAATGTTAGAGAAATCTTAGAAGTGCTTTTGGAATTGACTCATTTATTAGTTATGCATGTATACTCTTTAAAAATTGTTTTCAGAAAAGTGATGATGATTTTTGATAATTTTGTCTGACCATCAAATGCACATTAGATATTGTTTACTTTTCATGTCTAATCTGTGGAAAATGTATTGGAAGCTAAACAATAGATTATTTATCCTTACAATAATGACACATTTGGTGCAAGGTACATTTGAGTTTCAAATAGATGGGCCAGGACACTAATATTTCTCTCTCTTTATCTCTCTCTCTCTCTATCTATCTATCTATCTATCTATCTATCTATCGATCGATCGAAGTGGCGGCTCCAGGAGTAGGGCATAGCCCAAGTGAATCAACATTCCAGTATATCTATTCAAAGCAAAAAAATATCCTTTTCATTCTTGACTTCAGCTGGATCTGGAATTGTTTTAACTCCATGTCTCAAAATATTGACTGAAATTTCATCGATATTGTTCATAATAAAGAAGAGAGAAAAAAACAAGAACAAAGAAATTAAATAAAAGAATGAAATAAAATTTACATGGCTAGGTCAGGCTGAGTAGGTCTGAGCCTGATTGAAGCTGGAGACATACTTAATAGGCAATGTATTTCTTGCTTTAATTTTATAAATAATCTCTAATGACATATTTCCCCATTTCTCAAAATTTTTCAACTTAGTGTTTTCAAATGTCCATTTTAAATAATTCTGTATAGTATAAGGTCTTTTTTAGTGAAATGTATCAATTGAAAAGTCAAGCAAATGAAATTTAGCCCAACTTAAGTCAGTGAAAATCAAAGAAAGTGACAGCTTTAACTCATTGACTAGAGTGTGGCTGAGGTAGCGTTGAGGAAAACATGATATTAGTCAGCAGTAGTGATCATAAACATACAATAAATTAAACTAAAAATTCAGACAGATACATAAACGCACTAAAGCATAGTCATATATACAAACACATACTCGAAATAGGTACATGTTTATTTTTATAGAATTATTACAATTAATATTAAAATACAAAAATTTGGGTTTTTTTTCCTAATTTCATGCACAGATTTTTAAAAATGATATTTTCGTTAGAGTAAAGGAATTATTTTAGCATCTAAGTTATACCAATAGTACATTTTGTTAAAGATTGTAAAGAGCCCGACAAACATTGATGACCTAGAGTCACCACTGAAATATTAATATATATATATATATATATAATTTATTTAAAAATATGATTCCAACACGCTACATGTAGGTCTCATGTTTTTCAAAACAAGAAAATGAAAACTTCAATATAATTATTTGAATTAAAGTAAAAGCTTTGTTCCATCTTCAAAGGAAAAATTTTTTTGGAATAACTTATTTCTGAAATTTACGTGTTTTAATAGCATATTCATTATTGAAATCAAAATAAATGGTAACATATCTAAAGATATAATTTTAAATAGGAAGGGAGTTGGGTGTTAATAATTTGTATCAGTATAGAGTTACATTCATAGATGTCAAGTTCAAGGGTGTCTAAATTTAAAAACGGAAGATGTTTTTCTTCTAGTCTGGTTTACGTATCTATTTATTTATTTTTTTATTTTATTTCTTTCTGAAAGGGTTTTGTGTATATAAAAAAAACTGCTGTAATGTTTGTTTTTTGACGACTTCATAAAGGGTTATCTTTTTTTGTAGGGTATTTAAACTATTTATTGGGGCTATGGATTATAAAAATTCACATTATTAAGTTTCTAAATAATAAAAATCTATTAAACAATAGACATGAATCAACGGTTTTTTGCTGACATCATCAAATTTTTGCATTGAATAATTATAAAAAAACAAACAAATAAATAATTTTTAAAATCCATAGCCCTAATAAATAGTTTAAATGCCCTACAAAAAAAAAAGATAACCTTTTATGAAGTCGTCAAAAAAACAAAATGTTTGGCAGTTTTTTTTATATACAAAACCCTTTTTCAGAAAAAAATAAAAAAAAAAATAAATAAATCTCCATAGACACGTAAACCAGACTAGGTGAATGTCATCTTCCGTTTTAAATTTAGACAGCTTTAAATTAAACCTTACCCTGACTTGACATCTATGAATGTAACTCTATATTGATACAAATTATTAACACCCAACACCCTTCCTATTTAAACAATTGCTCTAGCTGTTACCATGGAAATTTTGATTTCAATAATGAATATGCTATTAAAACACGTAAATTTCAGAAATAAGTTATTCAAAAAAAAAAATTTCGCTTGAAGATGAAACAGAGCTTACTTTAATTCAATTTAATTCAAATAATTATATTGAAGTTTTCGGCTCTTGTTTTTGAAACATGAGAACTCTTATGTAGCGTGTTGGAATCATATTTTAAATAAATAATTATATTTATATATATATTTATATATATATATACTATTTTTTAAAAATAATAACAAAATACTAAAAAGAACTTTGGATTATTTACCTAATGAGTTGTTTCCTATTTTCTATATATTTTCACATATATTATAAGTTAATAAAACAAAGCATGAAGAAATATAATATCAATAGCTGGGAAATGAACAGGAATCTCTAGAGAACCATTGTCAGAGATGGGACAACAATCTTCAAATCCAAGTGACCAGCCAAACTAGAGGTAAAAGGAAGACATCAAAAAGAAAGAACAACAAAGGCCTTATCCACCATCCAAGACAACCTGTCCTCAATGTCTAAAGACCTTTCAAGCAAAAATTGGTTTCCTTAGCCATCTTGGAGTCCACAAACACAAATGAAAAAGGCAAACAGAACAGGATCATCATCCTTGAACTCAAGAGATAGCCATGATGATGATATATTAGTTAATGATAATACTATTTTTAAAAAAATATGTGAAAATACAAGAATCTAATGTATTTGTAGGCCATCATAATTATGGTCAATTCAGTTGTCAATTGAACTATTATTGATTCATTGAAATAAATGCATAAATACTTTATCAAATTAAAATAAAATAAATAATTATATTAATAAAAAAAAAGTAAATAAATAAAAGAAAACCAAAATTCAACAAGAACAATGATATTTACTCATTTTCATTTATTAGGCATTAAATTACATCACTTAACTTCCTCCATCGTTTATCTTGGTCAAGATCTCCCAAAGAAACTGTTTAATCTCCTATTCAATATTCCAGGAATATCGCAAAGCAGTTCACCAATCCAAACATTTGCCCAGCATAAAATTCCAGAGAGAGAAAAAAGCTGCCCAAAAAGGTAATAACTTTTTTTTTTATTCTCTTTCTAAAATATTTTTGTCAGTTTGTATAATCAGTAGTAAAATTTGAGAATGATGTACACAGAAGTAATTGTTTGTGTTGGATTAATAAAGTATTATCTGGCATTGATGAAACAAAATGGATAACCATTTGATAATTTTGGAAGTTTTCTTGGTTGTTCCTTATTTAGATGCTTGTTAATAACATGATCTGTACTACTGTTCTGCCTGTATAAATGATGCTTACACTTTTCTACTTAAGATCAGTGTGTAGTATCTGCTTCAGTCTCTAGCCCTTCTGAGCTGGAATCAGACTTTTTGAACAAGAAATCTTCACAAAAATAAAATGGAAAAAATTCAGAAAAGTGATTAATTGATTTGTTTTTTTTACAGTTTATCACCCTTTTGGAGGGTATTTAAAGCCAGAAAATATTTTTAGATTGTAAGAATTTTTTTGGAGATAATAGGTGGATTCTTACCTTTCCTAGTGGTATTTGTGCATAAGTGAATATAATGAACCTGACTGGAATTGAACTCAGCTCTCCATTTTCCAATTCTGAGCCATTATCCAAATATAAACCTTGAAAAAGCTTGCTGCATTTATTTATATTTTTATGCAGGTACCCATATAGGTACCAGACTCAACGTTGCTTAATCTCTGTGATCAGTGGAAAAGTAGACGGAAAAAAAAATTGTATAAAGGAGGAATTTAAATTCATCAATGAAAAGAAAATTAGATGAAATCAAAAAAATTAGTTAAAATACAAATTTTCAAATACATCATTAGGGATAGACATAAGACAGGCTTATGGTCCTGTCATATTGAAACACCAGTTCTTGTACAGTCAAAAAAATTAATATGTTTTTTAAGCCTGGTCAATATAAAATCATTTTTATAAATTTGTTGTAAGCAATAAAAATGTGCAGGTGCTGTAATGGATCATGGCTTGGAAGTTTTAATTAGTGAGATGAGTTATATATATATAAATAAAAAGAAAGAACAGTAAGATATATCATCCAATGTTCTTATAGATATTTTTATTTTTACAAAATAATGCTCAATGTAAATTTACAGAGCATTAATATTATAAATTAATTGATTTAAAATATGTTTTTTTCCACTACACAGTTCTAACCATGTTTCAAAAATTTAAGCTAAAAAATTTAAAAAATTTTATTGAGGATGAAATGGAACTAATGTCTTTAATTTAATTTGAAAAATTAAATTTGAGCTTTTATAATTCCATTTTGAAACATGGTTAGAACTGTGTTGAAAAAAACCATATTTTAATGTTTTTTAATTGATAATAATATATATATATATATATATATATATATATATATATATATATATATATATTCACTTATGTAAAAAATCAGTTGGGAATGGTCTGCTTTGGGTATAAATGATAAACTACAAAAATTCCTGGGTAAAACGATATAAACAGAGACAAAAAACAGAAAAGGCTTTGATCAGGAGATTTTGAGGATTGTGGAAGAAAACCTTTCAATTGCTGGTGTTCCCAGGTCCAACCTAATGTTTGTTGGTTTAAATCTGATAGGAAAAAAAGCTATGGGCAAATAGTTATTATTATTAAACTGAGTCAAAAACTATGAAATTTGGGAAAAATATGTTCTAAATTCAGAAATAAAATTTTAAAAAAAATACATATTATAGCAATTTTTTTTAAAAAAGAAAAATAAACATTTAAAAAAAAAATATTACCAAAAAAAAAATTGTCATCATTAAATAATAATTGTGAAACTTTTCAATCCACATTTCTATATATGATTAGCTATGGGTTAATTAGTAAATATTTTATATCATAAAATTATCTCCCAAAAACAAAAATTCTTAAAATCTTAATAAAAATTTTTTTTTTTTAAATAAATAACCTGCAATTGGTTGATAAACTGTAGAAAACTAATCAATAAAGCAGACATGCTGTGTATCAAGTGACAATAAAAGACTGGAAGGAAGGGGGTAGTAATAGGAATTGTGATACATTAAAATTATTTGTAGAGAGATAGAACAAAATAAATATAAAAGAGTGAATGCATTAAAAATATTTTATCCCCTTTTTTGCATAGGAAACTAATCCATGGTTGTAGAACATGTTGATAAAAAAATATGGGCAAACAACAAAGATGAGAACAATAAAGAGAATGAACAGATCTAAAGAAAAAAAACAAGGAATAGAAAAGGCATGAAATAATGGACAATCTTAGTTAGTAACACATGAAATTTCCATGGATCCATGCAGTATCACAATGGGGAAAAGTATTGATAATTATTATGTATTAAAATTTTTTTTTTTTTTTTTTTTTTTGATGATATCAGATAAATGCAAGGCATAAAAAATACATGAAAGGGTTATAGAGTGTGAAAGAATAAGAAAAAAAAAAAACATTATTAAGTTTGAGAACATTAGAAGATATAATCAAAGAAGACAATAGATAATGATTGACATTGAATTTAAATTTTTGAAGATCAAAGTTGGCTGGAAAGCAATTTTGAAAAGAGTTCTACAAATGAGAAGTGCGAAAAAAAAAACTTGGAATAGAACTTTTTGAAAACATCTAGATATTTCAATGGCGAAAATGATGAAATTTATATAAATCTAGTACTGCACTTAAATTCATAAAGTCTAGGTATCATCGTGAAATGTTCATCTGAACAATTACCATGAAAATATTTATAAAATAAAGCACAGGGAAGTGACATTACAATGGTGGGTAAGTGACTGAAACCGAGATGCCAAGTAACAACCAATAACTTTGAATTTTATCAGGAATTTTTAGTTATAGATTAGGAGCAGTGGACCAGATATGGCAGCAATATTCAAAGCATGGATGAATGGTAGACTTAAAGATATGTAAGATAGTGTCAGGGGAGAAAAATTATCTAATATTAATATCTACTATTTTGAGTATATTAATTTCATAATTCTGTGAAAGCAGTCCATCTAAGAGGAAGAAAAGCCTGATTTTAAACCTTCACTATATTCAAAACATGGAAAAGGCTATGGAAGGAAATCCAGACAGAAAATCTGATGTCAGTTGGCTGTTAACACTGACAAACTTCTGGCAACTACTACAACCAAGCTGGCCTCAAATGTAATAGCCTGTATTCCTTTGAATCTTGTTAGTACAACTGGGGCTATGTAGTCTGGGCAGCACATAGCCTCCAGATACCATCGCCCAGGCCTGTGCTCTGCAGAGGTCATTCCAGACTTACCACCAAAGGATTTAATTGTGACCAAACAGGACGTTATTTTTATCCTGTGAGATATGTGTATGCCTATTACAATGACAATATTAAATTTTTTTAGCTCAGATGATTTAACTCGACTAGTAAATGAATTAATCCTTTTGTCTGATAGGTTATTTCCCAACTCAAAAACTAATGTACCACCCCCTTGATTGTAGATCCATAGTAATTGCAACACCAAATATACCAGGTCTTTTGATTGTTAATCCATGTAAAAATCCATGGCAGCCAAGTGTATCTCTATAATAGTTCAGAAGACCCTATCCTGAAGAGCTAGGTACCAGCACCATATTCTTGTATACCCATGGTTTCTTATGATACAATAATATTCCTGATGATGCTGCCTAGTGTTAGGATTTTCTTTCAATAATATTGTGTACAACAGAATTGAATTCCACTATGGGAATGTGGTAACTCTTTTCTCCAGGATCTGGCAGCTAGAGAAAATGCCAAAGAAATTCCTAACACTGTTTTCAAACTCAACTACAGGTTTATTACAATGACGTATGTACAGGGTGTGATGGGTAAATTGTCAACATTTCACATTTTTAATTTTGTGTATGTGTGTTGTTTGTTTTTGTTTTTGTTTTTGCTGACTGCACAGTATAGTAGGGTCAGTTGGGCACCGTCTGTGAGAAAAAGAGCACAATGACACAATTCATTCTGCTAGAAATTTTGGAACAGCATGGTGTATTGCTTGGCATTTGTGCTGGAAGATCCATTATGAACATTTCAGAGTGTTTAGTTGTCAATCTGAGGACAGTGCAGAGGATTCAGAAAAAGTTGGATGGTATATCCACTCAACATCGTTGGGGTTTAGAGTGATCATTAGTGATTGTAATATTATACCCTCCATTCAACTTCCCACAGGGTCTCAGACTCAACATGGAGGCCTACATCAAGTGTCTTGAGGAGGTAGTGCTGCCTTGAGTCAAGAGGTTAGCTGCTGGAAGAGTCTGTCTGACAACAGGACTCTGCACCATGCCACACAAGCAGAAGAACCCTGTCATGGCTGTCAGACAATTTCTGCAACCACATTACCCCTTACACCTGGCCATCTAACTCCACAGACTGCAACCCCCTTGATTATTATGTGTGGGGTGCAGTTGAGCAAGAGACCAAAAAAATTCCTTGTAACACCAAAGATGAATGAAGGCAAGGATTATGGCAACATTTACCAACTTAAACAAGTAGACTGTCCAGAAGATTTGCAGGAGATTCCAAAGTCATCTGGAGGCTGTGTTTGAAGCCAATGGTGATTTTTATGGAATTTTTTTAGTATTTCAAGATATTTTTATGGAATTTTGGTAAATATATTTGCTAAAATGAGATGTAAGTGTTATTTTCATTTTTGCATAATTTAGATGACAATTTATCCATTGCTCCCTGTATTTAGTTGAGTATGTAACATTAGTTAGCTTGTGGGTATTACCCTCTACTTGACTGAAGGGTGACCTGAGGAAGTGATATTACTTTGGTACTATACTTCAAATAGTGACCCTAGGTAAGAACTTATAAACAGTAGTCCTTCTTTTTTTTCTGTAGGTCTCTTTGTTAAATGCTCTTTGTGTGTTTGTTGAAAGCTTAGCAACAATAGTTTGGGTTTTGATGTTGGTCAACAGGGGTCAGAACAAAAACTAAACCGAGCATTTTGACCGTCTAGCTTTATTAAGAATCCACCTATATCCATCATTGAAGGGTCACTAACTCCAAGCCAGAAACAGTCATCCACTTTATGGCTCAGCCCAGGCTAGACAGAAATATAAGACATCACTCTTGCAGGGAAGTAATATAATTTTTACACAATGGGACCAACACTAATAAGATTTTTCAAAACAATCCTGGCTGGTTAAATTTTGAGAATGTGCAAACCTGTCATCATATCATCTCTTTGCAGGTGTGTAAGCCTGTAAATGCTAAGTTTTACTGCTTTTTTTGATTAAGTTGTTCCAAGTTCCAATTTTCTCATTCATCTCATTTTATATGTTTAAATCCATATTTTTATCTCTCTTTTGTTCTCGTTATATCAAAGGCTACTTACATTTTTCTGTCTCCCATTTTTTACTTGATCCTGCATCCTGCCTCAAGTCTCCATCCAGCCATCACATTCACTTATACTAATATCTGTGGTGGCCTTTCTTAATACTTTTACAACTTAAATGTCAGCTGAATTGCAAGAAGATAGAATGCAAGGTTGTTAGCAAAAGGATGAGCCTAAAGTGCAAATTGCAACTACCAGAATAAAACCAGAGCGGAAAATTAAATGTTTAGTAAATGTTTTAACAAATGCTGGAAAGTGTGACACTGAAATCTGAAGGCATATTGGGATAGCAAAAGATGCATTCCAAAGACTAAACAGAGTACTAAGAAATAGAAATATTTTGCTAGAAACAAGGAAAATAGTACTAAACTTCTATGTAACATGTGTCCTCCTGTATGGCAGTGAGTGCTGGATGTTCTCCTAAAAGATGAAGAAGAGACTTGAAGCAGCAGAAATGATGAGTCTGAGAATACCATGGATTGAACATGTGAGCAACAACATTCAGAGAAAATGGAAACAAAAAGGAAATTTATACTTAACATCAGGAAGAGATAGTTGATGTTTCTGGAGCACATAATGAGGAAGGAGGGCTTGGAAAATCTGATACTCACAGGACAAATTGAGAGCAAGAGAGAGACAAGCAAACAATGCATAACATACTTAGTGAGCTGAGTAAATGGATGGGGGAACAAGGGTTATGAGAAATAACAAAGGCAATTTATTAAGCACTACAAGGGAAGTTGTGGAAAACTATGGTCACTTACATCTTGAGGGCACACAACTGAAAAACAGATTGTTTTGAACATATATTGTAGTTTAAATGCTGATCTTCAAAGCCATTGGTAGTTTACTATTGCTCTTCTTTTGCCAGTAGTATGCCACAGCTGTAAATACAACTGAAAGACTTTATTTAATGTGGAATTCTTTTATACATTTCATATCTTAAATTATTATTACCCCTGTCTTTTGATTATTGGCAAAGCATTAAATATTATGTTCATGTCCTAGTAACAACATTGTATTGTTTAAATCCGACAATAGCACATTTTAAAAGTAACATCCAGCGTCTTATGTAAATATACAACACTACTTGAAGCCCAAGTTTTCCATTGAGTTGTCAGTGATTACCCCACATTGAATTCTGATTCTCGATTTTGTTGGTGTGCACTGAAAGCTAGGGAAAGGTGTGCTGCTTCCTTACAAGATAATACGATAAAAGACAAATGCTATGTTAAGAAATAAGAATGCAAACCTTGTTTCCCATATTATGTGTAGATGTTTTATTCAGGGTTTTGCTTGCTCATGTAGGTAGGTGATACTTGGGACAATTTCTGCTATGTCAGCTTTTCCGTTTATCAACACCTCATCATTCTACTCATCTCAATGTGGTGGCTGGTGATATAAAATGGAGGCTTCAGAACTGCTTGGTGGACATGTTTGTCTCTTGTCAAGGGTGGACCAGGACTTTCCCTGATCCCAAGCATGACTGTTAATATAGACCAGCGCTTGGATATACAGTGTAACTTGGATATAAGAGAGATTTTCTCTGGTCCCAAATTAGAGCCTGTGTTAATGTATATAAAATAGACCAAACCCGGATATAAGAGAAACCCGGATATAAGAGACTTCTTCTCCGGTCCCGACAACTCTCTTATATCTGGGTTACACTGTATCCTATTTCCAGTTTTGTTAAACTCCTTTAATTCCTATTTCTCTTCTGATAAAGCAGATGCTGCTTGGAAGACTGGACATCAAAGGAACCCTTCACTGGTCTATCAAACAGAAACACTTGAGATCAAGACAACTGACCTTTACCCTTTCTATACTTAAATTATCACAAAAAACTTGAAATATTCAAAATTACATCTGATATGTTAATATATTTTAGCAGGTATCAACAATGGCTGGAAATTTATGCATACAGTGTTAAAACCTTAAATGACAAACAACAATCAAAATGCTGCCTTATGAAAATGGCATAAAAATTGGTGAGCAAACATGGAATGTAACTGATGTTATTTTAAATATTAAAAAATGTTTAAGGAGAAATTAAATTAAAAAAAAATGTATTTCAGAATTCAAAATTTTTAGCATTGAATTTCAATTTCATTAAACTTTATTTTTCATTGAATATATTCTTTGGCTTTATTTACAAATGAATTAACTCAAAAGCAGATACTGTCTCCATCTCCTGCTGCAGCAAAATGTACAACTTGCATGAATGAAGAATTTCAGCTTTTGTGTGTTTCTTTTTAGTGCCAAATATCCTCATGAGTGGCCAGGCAACTGGGAGATGTGTGTTTTTTTTTGTTTTTTTTTATATCAATTTACCATCTTTAGACATCTATTATTTAACCCATATCTGGTGGGATGAAGAAATAGATTCATACCTTTCCCTAGAGTATTTGTGCAAAAGTAAACTGAATGACTTCAACTAGAATTTGAACTTGGCCCACCAATTTCTCTTTTTTGAGACACTAACCATTATTCCACCACACACCTGCTAATGTATTTGTTGCGGATTTGAATTAACCTATAACAAAAAAAAAAAAAGGCAGAAAATGTTTTTAAATATAAAAATATAAAATATTTTTATTTTCGTATTTTTACAACTAAATTTTTCTCAGTGTGTATGAGTTCTTGTCTTTAAGTTCTTTGTTTGTAGTTGTTTAAGATGAAAAGAAATGTAATTTCTTTGTGTGTATGTGAGAAAAAAGAGGCAAGTGAGATAGTGGCGAGGAAGAGTGTAAGTGTCACATAGCCTGGCGAGGAAGAGTGTAAGTGTCACATAGCTTGGTGAGGAAGATGTGTGAATGAATAAGAGAATGTCTTTGAAGTTACCATCATGAACTGATGTAGCATGTATCTCTCTATTGCCTTACCAGTTTTGTCTGTCTGGAGACTTAAATATTCTTCAAAGGGATCACTTAGAGTGTTTTTTTATTCTTGGCAGGGATGCAACCCATTGGTTGAAAAATGTTAAATATTTATTTTCAAAGGATTAATTTGTTAACCAGAAGGATGTGCAGATACTGTGATTCAGAAACTATTTTTTTTTTTTTTTGTCATTTGATGATTCACTGTCTTGGTGTTTACTTCTGTCTTTGCTCAACATATCAACTATTTCAGTACAATTTTATACACTAAATGTCGCAACGGTTATAGGACAGATATTATTATTTATTTTTCAGATGAAATTTTATCAACGCTTGGAAAACTGAACCCTAAACAGCTGGCCATCATGAAAGAAATTCTGTATAATCAGGATGAAGTAAGTCACAGACTTGTAATTTCAATTTCTGATGTCTTGATAAAAATTGGATTGTCATTCATACACATTTAGGTACATTTAGATGAATGTACTATGTTGGTGTTTTTCACAACTATGTTGCAGATAGTTTGATAGGTCACTGTGTATTTAAATTATTCTTAATGGTGCTATGATCCAAGAGGTGCAAAGTAAGCCTTCTTGATAGGCATGTTGTTGTATGTTGTTATTATTCATGAAATATTTCTGTTAGGAACATATTTTAGTAAGGGACATATAAATTCATGAATAATGTTGATCCTGTGTAGGTTGGATCATGCTGGTGAGTTGTTGTTGACAATGAGGTTGGCTGTTTTAAATTTTTTATAATAAATAATAACACTGGTCAAAAAAAAAAAATTTTTTTTGAAATGGTGTTGAGACACAAACACCCTTTTTTTAGCTAATCAAAAATGCCTCAATTTTTGAAAAAAAATTTTTTTCATTTGTTTTCTGCATATATGATATTGATCGATGACAATATTTCTCAAAATAAAACTGTAGAAGCCTCTGAATTCATATTTAAACCAACAAATATTGGTCTGCTTATTGAAAAATACTGTTTTTTGCAATAACAATTAGACCCTAAGTTTTCAAAAATTAACACGAATGAATATATCAAGACCAACAAGTATTTTCATCAACTCATTTAATAACTAACAGTAAAGATAAAACCCTTGTGAACATAAGAATGATGGTAAAAATTTTCTCTTTCTTGATTTGTCATATTCAATGTTATTTAATTCCCTTTTGATACTCCAGCAGTATCATGTAAAATGGAATAGGTTCATTCAATTGGGATGCTTTTAGTTGGAGTTTCTTTCCAACTGTGAAAACAAAATGCTCTCAGTGTGCGTGGTTTCCTTCCGTAGTGATGGGATAAATTTATGAATATCAAACAGAAGATTTTAGGGTTTCATTTTTTTTTTTTTTTGGTGTCACCATAATTATCAGGTTTACTCAAGTGTATTACTGATAAATTTTATCAGTTAATTTGAATTTTGGTGATAAATTAGAAAACTTTGGTACATCTATTTTTTAATTTTTGACTCCAAAACACTTTTTTCTTATAAAAATAGTTTATTTCAGGTGGCTGACATAAATTGCTTGGCCTACCTGAAAATTGATGGGAATCTGCAACTTTTATTAACTAAATTTTGTGATCAGCCAATATTGTTAGTTGATCTTTTTTTTTTTAAAAATGAGCAATTTCAGTACATCAAAAATGTTAGCTAATCCATGAAAAACTAAGGTCATTTTCAGAATCAGTGCCATCAAATTAGCTAAAAAACGTGTTTTGTTTCTTAGTACCAAAAATTGTGTTGACCAGTGTAATCAACTTAACCTTTTTTATTTTAATACATATGGAGACCTACCAACCTCTATCTACAACATACTTGTACAAAACACCAACATAGTACAAACTTTAATGGTAGATTGTTTTTTTTTTTTTAGTGTTTTGGCCATGATCAAAACTGATGTCATTGAGAGTGAGTTGCTTATAGGTGTATACAACTTAGTAAAATTTCATCAAAATCTGAGGTGGTGGCTATGAGAATTTCTGAAAATTTGGTTGAGTTGATATGGAATTACCCTCATCTGTCTGTCTAAGGAATTGATGGGTTTTTATTTTTTATCTATTTCTTATTACACTAAGCATTATTTTTGTGGATACATGTTTGATTAGAGACCCTATTTTTTTCTCTAAATAATTAAACAGTGTGCCAATTTTAGGACTCTTGAATATGCTGGTAGACATACCATAAATTGTGGCATACAAGTCAACTACTAAGAACAAAAAGGATGAACCAGAAAACTACTTCTCTCCTTTCAGAATTATTTGCAATATTTGTTTTTTTTTTCTGGATTTTATTTCATTTACACTACTTTCTTATAAGAGAAACATTATTCTTATTGTACCATATACATAAATTTTACATTTACACTACTTTCTTATAAAAGAAACATTATTCTTTTTGTACCATATACATAAATTTTTCTTTGGACTTGAATCGACTTGTTCATATTTGATTTTTCTGCTTGGCTCAATTCTCGCTCCAACGAACTTGCAGGTAGACCAGCTGAATCTTCTGGGATCTAAGATTTGTTAATTGCTCTCCAGGATAAAAAAAATCACAACGTGGCTGGAAAGTGGAATTGAATTGACATTGTGAACCAGAGACTTTGATTGAACCTGTTATACTGGACCAGGACAGGAACAATGGCCAATCTTGTAGAGTACATCGATCCAGTGGGGGCAGGATAGGTGTTACAATAGTATACAATAACCTATGCCAAAATTTAATAAGGCTGCACCACTTACCTGTATATTGAGACACTAACCATAATAACTTTCTATGTGCATTGTATAGCAAACAACCTGTTAATAATTTATTATTTTATATTAAATATCTTTATTAATTTCTGTCTTAATATACCAAATATGTTCACCAAACACAAATTTTAGTGGGATATATTTGTGGCAGCCTGCTGGAATTAAGGTAAGTGGTAATTGTTAGGAGGGCTGTCCCACTTGTTTATAACTTGGTGGTAAAGGTTTGTGTTTTATACCTGACATGTAAGTCGACCCCTAGTTTTGGAAATATTTTTTTAGGCTTGAAAATTTGACTTGTATGCCACAATTCACAGTAATTGTCACTGTTTAAAATAAATAAAAAACTAAGTTGTTTATGCAAATATGTGTATCCACAAAAAGAACATTTAGAAAAATAAATATATTTGTATAAAAATATATAATAAAAGGCTGATAACATTCAGGCCTAAAAGCTATTCCAGCTTAACCTCCTCACTTATTATACAGGGTGTGATGGGTAAATTGTCACCAATTTATATTTTGTTTGCTTTTGATTTTGTTGACTGCACAATATAGTGGGGTCGGTTGGATACTGTCTGTGTGAAAAAGGGCACCATGATGCAATTCATGCTGTACTGCTTGACATTCATACCGGAAGCTCCACTCTGAACATTTCAGAGTGTTTGGGTGTCAATCTAAGGACAATGTAGACAATTTGGAAAGAGTTGGATGAATCTAATGATGATTACAAAGGTGTTTGGAGTGATCACTAGTGATGGCGACATATGCCTCCATTCATCTTCCCATGAGGCCTCAGACTCAACATGGAGTCCTACATCAAGTACCTTGAGGAGGTAGTGCAACTTGGAAAACTCATTATGATTACTCCTGAATTTGTTGGTGAGGGCCTCAGACTCATCTTCCCATGAGGAGGTAGTGCTGCCCTGGTGGCTGCTGGTAACAGGACTTTGCACCATGTCACACAAGCAGGAGAACCCTGTCATAGCTGTCAGACAATTTCTGCAACCACATCACCCCTTATATCTGGCCACCTAACTCCCCATATTTCAACCCTCTTGATTATTATATGTGGGGCACAGTTGAGCATGGGGCCAACAAAGCTCCTTGTAACACCAAGGATAAACTGAAGGCAAGGATTATGGCAAGATTCACTCATTTAAACAAGGAGACTGTCCAGGAGAGTTGCAAGAGTTTCCGGTCATCTGGAGTCCATGATTAAAGACAATGGCGATTTTTTATTGAATAAATTTACTCTTTAGCATTTCAAGAAATTTTTATTTAATTTTGGTAAATATCTTACTTATTATAAAACACAGATTGTGTGTGTGTGTGTGTGTCTGTACGTTTATATATTGGATTGGATTTCCTACATTTTTCAACCGATTTCAACAAAACTTCACAGGACTGCGTAAAATTACCTTGCAGTGGTTCTGACAGCAAATAAAAAATTGGAAAAACACAATTGTTTTTGCACAAAATCAATTTGAAAACACAATAAAAAACACGATTCTGTCGCCTGAATGAAAGGGGGACAACTCATATCGAGTTATACTTATTATAAAACCCAGGTTGTTTGTGTGTGTGTGTGTGTGTGTTCGTTTATATATGGGATCGGATTTCCTACATTTTTCAACCGATTTCAATAAAACTTCACTTTTTTTTTTTGTAGGTATTGTTTCTTATTGTCTTGCACACTTTTTTCTTTATTTTTACATTCAGAATGCTTTAAAAATTCCATTTACAAGACAATTGTTTATAATAAAATTCTATTCAATTGATAGATTCATAACAATTGAAAACAATGTTTTTGTTTGGGTTTGACCAATTCGTAAAAAAAAAAAAACAAAACAAAAAAAAAACTAATTAAGACATGTGTGTCTGTCAACCTAAAACAATAATCTTTGTCAATTTTATTTTTCAGTCTTTATGATGGTCGATACTTGATCTATCTCCTACTGTTACATCTCCGGGCAACGCTGGGCTCTATTGCTAGTATCTGTTAAAATGAGATGTTGGTGTTATTTTCATTTTTGCGTAATTTAGATGACAATTTATTCATCGCACTCTGTAGTTCTATAATATACTGTTTTAGATGTCAGTGTGACACTATGGAGTTAGAATGAGTTACAGGCCTGATGTAAAAATAAATCAACTTGTACTAGCCAATATTCAAAAAGGAAATTGGGCTAATTTACTGAGGTGGGTCAATACATTTGGGTTGGTAATAGCTGAGCATTCATTAAATAGCCATCCATGTGTCTGGTCCTATAGCCAAGACATATTCTTGGTACTGAGGAAGACTCATTCATATTTCTACCTTAGACACTATACATATCAAGTCCTTCCAGCCTTTCTTACACAGTGGATGCAGTAAGCATAATCTAAACCTTGCTGGTAAGGTATTTCTGATGTCAAGACACCTTATTCATTATAGAATATGTATTTCTCTAAAGTAACAATGAAAAAGCAAGATAACCAAATTTGTATTAGAGGATTTATGCCTGCTTGTTTATATTATTCTATTCAGATATAAAACTATCTGATATTGTCTTGATATTAAACTATTATATTTAAGACACATCATGCCATGTACACTAAGTCAAATCATTTTCATTTCCTTTGTATTCTATGAGTAAAAAAAAAGTTCCATATGAACAGCTTCTTCCCAAGAACCATTACTTTGCAGAATAGACTCCCAAGAGGATGTTCCCTGATTAGTACAATCTTAGCCTCTTCCAGTCTAGGGTTGACTACTATCTTTCGTACATATCCTCATAAACTATACTTATTACCTTCTCCTCTTACAAAAACAATAAATCAGTGACCCTCTAACTTGAGTAGCTCTTAGACCTTTGTGTGAAAAATTAGTAAAAAAAAAAAAAAAAACTGTTGAAAAAAAAATTCCATTATTGTTCCTTGTACCCTTTTAAATTGGCCTCAGTTTTAAGATGCTTTTCTTTCTCTTTTCCTAGCTGCAGACTGTTTTAAATTATTCTGACAGATTGATGGACAACGTGAAAGATGTGTGTGGTGACAACCCAAAAGTAAGAGGCTTTGTTTTTATTGATAATGTTGTGCATTGATTTTCATCCTCAGATCTCCAAAAGGTGTGTTCATATTTCAACTCTCAAATATTGAGACACATTCATTTGTTGTATATTAGATTTTTTGCTTGAGTTCTACAGTAGAGGCACTACAATGAGAAATTAACACTTTTTCAAATTTCTTTTTATGTCAATATAGATTAAGAACTCCAGATCATGAACGTTATAAAAGAAAATTTTTTTTTTTTTTTTTTTCAATAAATTTTATAAAAGTTAATTAAAAGGTTGCTATATAAATTGATCCTACATATGACTTTTCTTAAAATATAAAAAAATAACTTTTTGAAATTCGTATTCGGGTCTGGGCTGATTAATTGTTGGCAATACATGAAAAAAAGAACTCCAAATTTTTTTTCAATTGATTCCAAGGAATCTGTAAGAGTACCAATTTACAATTAATTTACATAAGTCTGAACCCCCTATTAACTTTTATAAAATTTTAATTAAAAAAAATGTAATGGAATTGGTCTATCTCCCCAACAAAATATTTTTTTTATATATTTATGATCTGGAGTTCTTAATTTACAGTAACATCAGGTATCCCCGAATTAAAATTTTATTTTTGATATATATTTAAAAAAATTTTAATACAGACATAGGTGGACAAAACATAAAACTGGTACCAAATTTATCTTGATAGCTCAATAAGCAACCAATTTATGACCATTCAAAGTTCATCAGAACTATGAAAATTTTCTGTTTTTTGTGCCCAGAAGCCAATTTTAACATTGTATAACAGTGTGAATACAGGTTTCAAACAAGTGAAAAATCATTATCATTATAAATTTAGTCTTGAAGTTAATACTAATAGAATAAATAATTATTAGATCTGCCCAGCTTAAACATTAGGGAAAATTGTTCACAAAAACGAAACATTTAAAAAATAACGCTGAAAGGTAAATTTGACTTCTTATATAAATTTCATTTTGCAACTTCTTGCTATGATTCATAGCACAATAGAGATGAAACTAAATTCTTTTTTTTTTTTTTTCAGTAATACCTCAATAAAAAAAAAACTCACTTATACCATGTAAAATGGCCAGAAGTGCAATTTGACAGTAGGGCAAAAACAGGTGAAAAGTATACCATAAAGTATTCATTGTAGCTACATGTCTGAAAGTTTGAAACTTTAATAATTTTTGAATGAGGAATTCAGTATAATAACTCAATGCTCTGTAATATGAATACCTTTATAGATGTATTGAATTTTGGAAAATTTAGTGAAATTATACAATTTTTGAACAGTAATGATTACTTATATGCTAATACCCTTGGGAAAGGTATGAATCCTCCTCTTCTCCCCCCCCCCCAGCTATGGATAAATAGCAAGACAGACCAGGTTATATAGCCTTGGATGGCAACTGGTCTACTGCAGAAAGAAATAGCAACCAACTGTGGGAAAAAATCTGCCTCATCAGTTATGTATTGAAAGATACATGATCACCTAAGCGTGTAACTGACTGAATGATTACAATTGTAGCAAAAGGAAGAGTCCAATATACAAATTACAGATTGGAGATACTGAATCAAACAGCTGCAATAACTTATCTGGGAAGCATATTCACAGAGGTTAGGGTAAGTGTGACATTAAAATTCAAATGTGCATTGGGATAGCAAAAGATGCCTGGCAAAAACTGAGCAAAATATTAAGAAACAGAAAAATATCATTAGAAACAAAGAAATGAGCATGTTATGTAGCATCAGTCCTCTTCTAGGGCAGTGAATGCAGCACAATTTCCTGACAGATGAAGAAGAGACTTGAAGCAACAGAAATGAGGTTCTACAGAAGGATTCTGAGGATACCATGGACTGAACATATGAGCAATGATGAACTACTAAAAACAATAGCAATAAAAAGGACACTTATATTTAACAGGAAGAGAGTTGAAATTTCTGTCGCATATAATGAAGAAAGATGGCTTGGAAAATTTAATACTCAGGACAGATTGAAGGTAAGAGGGACAGAAGAAAATGCTCATCCCACCTAGTGAGCTTGAGTGGATGGATGGCAGAGCAAGGATTGGGAGAGATGGTAAAAAGACAAATGTTATTAAGAGCTAGAAAGAACAGGAAATTGTGTAGAGCCATGATTGCCAACATCCTAAAGGAATATGGCACATAGAAAAAGAATGATTACAAAACTTAGAAATTTGTTTCATAATATGAATCTTTTCAGAAAAATTGCTAAAAATAGCACATTCTTGCAAAAGTTGAAGAACTATATGTATCCTTTTTTTTTTTTTTTTTTTTTTTTTTTTAAGAAAATATAATAATTTCATTTTAATGTCTGGAATAGGACCTAATCTCTAGAATTAGTAAACAAATAGCCATTAAAATATAAAAGAAAATTGATTACATTTTGAAAATTACATTATTACATTTCACTTTTTTATGAATGCATGTTCTTAAACATATATCCAGTTCATTTTATTTTTTATAAAATGTATCTACTTTCAGTTTTGTTAATCAAAAATGTAAATAAATTTTCAATTTAATCCTGAGTATTACTGAGAATTAGAGAAAACATTGCCAGCCATGAATGTAAATGAAATGAATGGCCATTAAAAGAAAAACTGGATACATTTTTTTTTTCTTTTAAAATTTTATTTAAATTTTTTACCACCAAACATGTGAATGGGAAATTTGAAGAACTAAAAATATATCTAGTTTATTTTTTAAAATGTTTTGTTTTATATGAATTCAGTTGAATGTTTTATGAAAATGCATAAAAACAGCTGAGGTGAAAGTGATTTGAGTGTCAGTTTGGACAAAATACAATGAATATAAGTACTTTATACAGTTTTAAAATACCTCATTAAAGTAAATCTAAGAAAAAACACTTAAACTGTAAACTCTACCGATGAAACAAGTCTGATTTAAAATGTGGTTCAATGTGTAAAAACAACTTTATTTTAAAATTTAAAAGAAAAATTACAAAATTATGAAAATATGTAAACTATCTACAATGTGCAATATTTATTATTTACCATTTTATAAATAACTATGAAAAAAAAAATTTTTATTCATAATTTTATATCAATCAATTATCAAAGAATTACTTGTTTACTTTTCTATTTTTTTTTTTAATTGTGATGTTGAAATCGAAGGTCTGAAAATCCAGCAATTATAGATTAAACTCATTACTCATTTTTGAAAAATATAATTTTGAAAGAGTTTCAAATCATTGTTAATTTTTTAAAAATGTGACTTTTCACATTTGTTTCTTTATAAAATGATAAATAATATTTATAAAAGGTAAATAATTTTTTATAATCTTGTAAATAAACATTGTTGAGGGAGTGAATTGTAATTAAAATAATAGCAATGTCAATAGACAAAACAGTCCTTCTTGAAATGCCATTTTTTGGGGGTTTTTTTGTGAGCACAAAAATTTGCCAAAAAAATGAATACAAATCTGAAGTGTAGAAAAATGAACAATTGCAAATCTGAGATGTCAGAAAATGAATACAAATGCAAGCAGTGCTTTTCTCAACTATCAGCACTAATTGATCTTGATGATGAAAAGCGTGTTATTTAGCTATATTGCCACTGAACAGTTATGATTCATTGATGACCAAGTACAACCATTCTCAGGCTAATTAGTACAACTGCCATGTAAATTTAGCAGAAATAACATCTGTTTAGAGATTGCATTCACCAAACAGATAATCATTCAGGAGGACACAACTCTTAACCACACCAAAACACCCAACTCGAGTTTTTTTTTTTATTTCTGTTGCTCTGGTTAACTTTTTGTGTATTTTTTTTTTTAAGTCCCCCTTGTTCACCAATGATTCAGTATTTCTGTTTGGAAAATAAAATTCAGAATTTCATTATATAATATGTCAAATGTACTTGTATATTTTTCCCCTCCCCTTTAATTTTTAATGTTGCCAATGCAAGGGAGGTAATTGATGTCAGTGTTATTGTTATACCGATGGCAAACTATTTTAAGCTGTCTATGAAAAATGCCTCCATGAAAAAGCAGAGTATAACAATTAAAAAATTATATTTAAAGATTCACATGTGGAAATCTAATAATTGTAAGGGCTTAACAAAATTATGTAATGTAATATATTTACAGATTTGTTTGTTGGAAGTTTAATATTTACACATGGTTACAGAACTTAAGCAATAACAATGGTTGATTTTAGTGCATTAGCTTAAAGTTGCCTTTATACTATGTTGGCAATAATTGCATATATATAAGGCAATTAAATAACAAAGTGGAAAAATGGTGTAATGTCTTTTGTCTGTTGAAGTCTTATGAAATGTATTATATAGAATTTTTCTGCTTTGTCATTCAGTTGCCTAACATTGATTGTTCTGGTATATAGGGATTTATATATCACATTCTCCTGTCTGTGTGTGTGTGTGTGCGTGCACGTGTGTGGGGGAGGTGTATATATATGACACATAGCTGAGTGGTAAGAACGATCTCTTTCTGGCCATGAGACCCAAGTTCAAATCTCACCATGGTCAATTTGTCAAGGTGATGACTTCTTAATTATATTGACTCAGAGAGGTGATCCCAGCATGAAACCTTTTGAAAAGTGAAAACCAAACCACAGATTAACACAAACTTCATGAGTGAAATTGAGTAGGTGGAACTTTTTGGGAGCTGTTGATGATTGTGCTAGCTCAAAGTCACATGTCACACTGGCCTTGTTAAAAAAAAAAATTGATTACGCTAGCTTATGTGCTCTTTCCAAGAAACTAACTAAAGCCTGCTTAGAGTAGTTGTAGTACAAAGCACAGTAACTCTGTGGATTAAGCAGGCATCTGTAATTCATAAACTAATACTTTAATCCACTTGGCTTTTGTAGCATTACAGCTCAGACCAGATCCTCTGATTTGTTCATAGGATGCAGCTTCTTCTAGTCAAACACTTGTGGTTTAATTCAAGGAAAATAATTCTTTAGCCAGATTGTTACTCACAAAATAAAATCATGATATGAAATTGTATCAGTTGGCAAAGTTTATTCAGTTGCAACTTTCTTGTAAGAGTTGGCTGTAAGTGAGCAAGGAAAAGCAAGATGAGGGGGTGAACAATCTAAGCGGCATGTGCCTTCCTTTCAGGTCACGAACAAGAAGTCTTTCATAGCTGCTAGAAAACAAGTGTTCTTTGTCCTGCCAGCTTTTGTCTAAAAAAAAAAAAAAGAAAGGAAAAAATGTCATTTCATCAAGTTCTCTCCATTTAGCTGACTTTTTTTGTTAGGGTTGTTTGACATAGTTTTGTGAAATTTGCTTCACTCAACTGAACTTCTTTGTCAAGATGATAATTGTCAAAATGATTTCTGTAACATCCTGCAGATGTTTCCTTAAAAGGATATCATTTGACAACTGATATTGCAACACTATTGTCCCATTAGTCTGAATATAAATAGTATAAATAGTGATAACTCTTCATCCCAGAAATTCAGACAGAAACATTGTGTTGTGTCTTTTCTTTCGGGACCAATTCCATAGTACTGTCTGAAAAAGAAAGTTGTATATAAAATGGTGACTGTCACTCAGCAATAAAGTCATTGTATCTCTAAATATTCCTCCTGCAAATACTGATTTTAAATTAAGTTTATTTTTTTTTTTTTTTTTTTTCAATTTTGGTTTTAAAAGAAAAAAATTAATATTGTCCACTATTTCTCTGATTATGATTTTCCTGTTCTTTTTTTTTTCCAGAGATACCACGCATTCCCTTCAGTGACTTCAGCACCAGGATCAGATGCAGATGCTTTCTTTAAAAAGTTAGTAAAGCAACACTTACACAATATATTTAGAGAATATGCATGCAATAACTTATTAAGGTAACTAGCTATTCCCTCTTGCAGATACCTGCTGAGGCATATTTGTCTTACTTCAGCAGCCACAGAGCCAACCTGTGGTTTATACTGTAACTATGCTGGTGTGGTGTAATGGTTAGCAAGCTTGTCTTACTAGATCAGCTACAACCGAGTAGTGAGTTTAATTCTCACTGGGTGCTCTATGCTTTCAACCTTGTGCCATAGCTAAGTTACACTTAGTAAATTACTACTGCAACTCTGCTGAGCATACACTATTTGGGAGAGAGTATATAATCTGGAGTGCTCACTAGTTGAATAAGGCTATGTTCAGACTCTTGGTCACAATGACTTTGTGCTTGCACAATCACAGACAGCTCCCAGACAGTTTTGTCTACCCAAATTTCACACACGCACACACTGCTTGGGTCAAACTGTGGTATGGTTTTTAGGTGTTTCCCAATGGTGGCACATACTGAAATCAACCCCTCCACCAACCAGCTGATAATATAAAGAAGTTGACCATGGTGAGATTTTAACCTGACTCTTATGGTGAGGATGCTGGTGTTATAATCCCTCTGGCATATGTATGTGCCCTCCACCCATATATAGTGAGGGAGTAAGTTAGCAAAGTTGGTGTTGCCTTTGCAACTTGTATATAAAGAATCTCCTAAGTTCAAAAAGGATGTAAAACTCTTAGAAAATGCTAGAATAAATAATTTAGTCATTTTGTCTTTTATTATTTTCAATTACAGCCTGAGCATGACCTTGAAAATCTGTGCAAGTCTTAACACTAAAGTCCTTGACCCACTTTTCCTTGAGAATATTGAAGTTCAGGTGGGGGTGTCTTGTTGGTGTTCCTTCTTCAAAACGGTCCAATATGGCATTGTCTAGCAGCCTCAATTCAGGCTGGAGGAGAGCCATGAGTTCAATGGCTAGAATTAAACAAAGTCAGATTGGTAAAACCTCTGCAGTTACTGCTACTGCTTGGTAAAACCTCTGCACTGTTACTGCTGTGTTACTGGGAACATCATTCTGAGTAGCTGGCCTTGAGCCATAGTAAAACATCAGGACCTTGTAGTATGTACCAGCATCACCCATTCTCCAAGAGGAATGGTAAAGGATCTTTTTTTTTTTTTTTTCCTTTTAAAACCATGACAGTCTGAATACTTGATCCTGAAGTTATTCTCGATGTCAACTTTTGATTTGGTGGTGGTGGTTGTTTTGCCAGTTTGAAACGTTATCCACTTTGAAGATTTTTCTTGTCAAAGATTTTTTTTTATGACAGTGGACCTCTGAATCTAGAAGTACTTGAACACATTGTTGCATCTTTCCAGCCCCATGGACTCTTTAAAAAGGGATGCCATGACATCCTGGTGTTAGATTTAAGACCCAGGCTATCATGCATATCCTTTCTGATGGTCCATGGGTAGGGATCAACTTTCAGAATCTGTTATTTGGTCATTTGGACTTATTTTGGTAAGTGGGTTGAGCTGAGAACTTTTCAGCATCCTATCAGGTTTATAGTATTAGTTTGGCCAGAAAGTCCTGACTCACTCAGGAAGCAGAAAGAAAACTACAAAATTTTATGGAGCAACACTAACATTTATTCTTCAAAATAAAGTCCATCATTCTTGACAATCTTCTGTCAGTGATCAGCCAGCATCCAAATCTGTTCCAGATACCATTTCACTTGCTTTGAATCAAAAAACTGTAAACAAGCTTCCTTCAATTCATCAAAAGTGTTGAATCACTGGTTGTGGAGAAAGTGTGCCACTGAGCGGTATAGGCCATAGTCACACAGAGCAGCATCAGGACTGAATGATGGATGTGGAAGAATCTCAACATCATCCATTTGTTTGAACTTCTCCTTAATCAACCTAGCAGTCTGTGGCTTCGCATTGTCTTACTGAAACAAAGCCCAACCTCAACTGATCAAAGCAGGATACTCCTCCCTTAGTTTGTTGTACATTGCAGTCTAGCTGCTGGCAATACAGTTTACCATTGATGCTACGACCATGTGGAATAATCACAAAATGCAATACTCCTTGGAAATTCCACCAGACAGAGATCCTGACCTTGTCGAACTGATTGCATTGTGGAACGGATGCCAGTTGTTCACCTCACAGAACCCATTTCCTCTCAAAAAGATGGCTACCATGGCTTTGTGGATTCAAATTTTGGTTTCTTTATGATTGTAAACCTTAATGTTTCATTTCTTCTGTGCCCATGTTTTTATGCTTATAAAATGTGGAATATTTTGCTGGTAAAAACATCATCTAAACATTATATTAATTTGGCCAGAAAGTCCTGACTTAGGAAGCACAAAGAAAACAGCAAACTTTTATGGAGTAACACCAACATTTATTCCATCATTCTCAAACATCTGTCAACGATCAGCCAGCATCCGAATCTGTCCCAGATACCAGTTCACTTGCTTTGAATCAAAAAACTGTAAACAAGCTTCCTTCAGTTCATCAAAAGTGTTGAATCACTGATTGTGGGAAAAGTGTGCCATTGTGTGGAATAGACCATAGTCACTTAAAGCAGCATCAGAACTGAATGGTGGATGTGGAAGAATCTCAACATCATCCATCTGTTTGAAATACTCCTTAGTCAACCTGGCAGTGTATGGCCTTGCATTGTCTTGCTGAAACAAAGCCCATTCTCAACTGATCAAAGCAGGATACTCCTCCTTTAGTTTGTACTACATGCAGTCTAGCTGCTGGCGATACAGTTTAGTGCTGATGCTGCAACCATGTGGAACAAGCTCCAAATGCAGTAATCCTTGGAAATTCCATCAGATAGAGATCAAGATTTGTTTTCCTTTTTTCCACTTCCTACATGAGACAGGTCTTTCTGGCCAACCTAGTATGTGTATATGAGAATTACAAAACCATATGTAAATAATCTTATTGGTTTTTTTTTTGGTAGGTGTACGATGCTAGTATACCATAATCTGTATCCCGTTAACTTGCAAGTTGTATAATGTTATGAAATAAGATTTAAACAAAACTGATGCAGTAATCCTTTTACATCTGTAAGATTTTTTTTAAAATCCTCTTTTTTTACTCTTATGACTGAAAAATTTAAAAATGGTATAATCTTCTGTTTCAGCAATTTACCTTCAGAATTACCTGAATATCAATCTCGTCTGGATTTGTTAAGCAACAAAGTCATGAGTTCTGTCGCATTAAATGACGAACAAGAAGACCCAGGTAAGTCAGTTCATATTTAACAGGTTATGTGATCTTCAATATTTTTTTTCATTAATATATACAAATATTAACCCAATACCAAGAGCCACTCAAAGTAGAGAGTCACTGTGTGGTGTTAACATAAGAGCAAAAAGTGAAGTTTTTAAGGGCTACCCAGGAAAGATAACAGCTAATTCTAGACTTAAAGAGGTCAAGATTAACATTTCAGAGTTCAGTCGGAAATGTTAAAAATATAGTGTGGAAGCAAACTTTAGAAGGAACCGGAAATCCAATCTTAAACAGGAAAGAAGGGATAAACCTCTACTCCTGTTCAAAAGACTGGGGAGAAATGTGAAGTCAGGTTTTGGTAAACTACAGTCCACTCTGATATTTTGTCTAGTCTGTAGGCCACATTGAATTTGCTTTTATTCAGAAAATAAATCAGTCTTATTTTACTGTCAGTTGTATAAGTGACAGATCAAAATAATTTTAACTTCAAACTTACAAGTTCAGTGCAATCACTGAAATTTTCACATAATGATTGCTTCAAGAAAGAAGAAAAAATGTCATAGTTTTCAGAGTGTTGCTGATATGCCAGATGACAAACAAGAGTCATTAATCAGTTATAACAAATTTAGTATAGGAGATAAAGAAATTGAACATAGAATAAGCTGGTAGTTTTGCCCAACACCACAAACTGCTACAAAATCAAAACATTAACCTAAAAATTCAAGTCATATTCTTAAACAATCTCATCAGATTGAGACTTTCATATGGATGCCATGGATGATACCAAACTTGTTCAAAAATATCTAAACTGTCATCTGTATACAACTGTTTTCATAAATAAATGGTTTTGAGCAAGTGGAATATGTAGGCCTCAGCAAGGACTATTCTTTCAATCTTGTGGATTGGTGCTAGAGAATCACAAAGATAGAACTGTACCAAATAACTGAAACTATATCACTTTCAAGACTTTTAACTACAGCAACAACTAAAATGGATAGCACATGTAACTCAAAGAGAAAATAAGGACATAATCGAAAAAGAAAATGATATTGATAATAAAACTAATAATGCTTATTGTATATTATTAGTTGGCCTTTTGACCAAATGGAAGCATGATGAGAGAGATGTTAAAAATTTGAATTTTGTGGAGAGCCATGAGGAAAGCTTCTGAAAATAGTTGACAGATCAGGGATTAGGAGAGACAGTGAAAAGGCAAAATTTACTAAGACCTACAAAGGATAGGAAATTGTGGAGAGCCATGATCATTCATCCTGAAGAGACATGGCACATAGAAGAAGAAAGCCTTGTTCCTTCCTTTTAACACACGCTATTTATATAACCTGTATATTTCTATAACCTGTAATATAATCAGGAGAGGAGATTTTTTTTTTCCCAATCGTTATCACCTTAAGCAAGGCAGTAAAGCCATTAAAACGCAAGGGGTTACAGAGTGTGGAAGAATTAGGAACAGAAGCATTAATGAGCAGGGAGAGAAAAGAGCAATCAGGAAGACAGTAGATAGTGATTGACATTGCATTTAAATTTTTGCAGATTAAAGTTGGCTGGAAAGTATGGAGCTGGAAGGGAGTTCCATAAATGAGAAGTGCAGGAAAAGGAATTGTTAGCATTGAACTTACACCTACATCTAGCTAGCTCAACTGTAAATTGATGAGATCTCGATGCTAGTCTACTATTGTGCTTAAATTCATAGAGTCTAGGTACCATAGCAAAGAGCTCATCTGAACAATTACCATGAAAGTAATTAAAAAAAAAAAAAAAAAAAGCACAAAGAGGCAACCTTACGGTGGTGGGTAAGTGACTGAAGTCAAGCTGCCAGATCAGGACCAATAGTATTGCTGATTATTTTTTGGATCATCAAGTAGCTCAAGTTAAACAGCAGGGGCGCCGGACTATATGTGGCAGCAATATTCTAAGCATGGGCGAATAGTAGACTTATAGAAATGCAAGACAGATTCTGGACAGAATTGTCTCGCCCAACACAGTGAACTGACTTTCTTAGCAGCTGACCTAGCAATGGATTCAATATGTTCATTCCACTTCTTGTCAGCTGAGCACGTTAGCCCAAGAAGTTGCAACAAGTCACTTTCCTGGAGGTTACCATCAGCCATGCAGATGGAAGGCAGAGAGGAGTCTTGCAGTTGATTAATGGAGTGAAGTTTAGTTTTGGAGGAGTTAAAATTGACAAGCTGTCTTTTGCCTCAGTTAATGATGGACTTGAAACAGGAGTAAAAAATGGTTGTGTTGTCAGAGTAGATGCTAAGTTGAGAGCTGATGTCATCGGAAAGGTCGTTAATAAAAATTAGAAACAGCATAGGATGAAGGATAGAGCTCTGGGGGACACCCATATTAGTATGGAAGGATCTAGATAAGTGGTCATTCAGGATAATTTTGATTTCACGATTTGATAGGAAAGACTGGATCAGCTCAAAAATGTATCTGAAGACACCATAACTTTTCAGCTTGTGGAGAAGACCTGTATGCCAGACTCTATCAAAGGCTTTCGAGATGGCCAATGCTGAAGCCCAGGCTTGATTAAATTAAAATCATTTATTTACATCAGTGACATAATAATTAGGAAAAGCATGTAAAGAAATTTACTGGAAATTTTATTATGATAGAAATTCATTCTATTAATACTAACTCTTGATGTAACCCATGATATATTGATAGCTCTGCCAAAATTTTTATTTGCAATCATCTCTCACACACACACACACACACACACACATATTTTATATATATATATATATATATATATATATATATCTCTCCTAGCATCAACCTTGCATTATTTAATAGTGGAAATGGTGAAGTGAAAGTTTTTAAAAAATAAAGAAATAGAAAGATGCTCACGTGAATTCCATTTGTGTGTATCATGTGAGAGCTTGGAATGAATGCTCCTTTTTCGGAAAACAACAGAAACTATTTACAATGTAACAATCAAAACATGAGGAAAAAAATAACAGCACCAGAGGAAAACACCCTTGAAAATGAATAGAAGTGGCTGAAAGTGCTTGGGACAATAAAAATTATGGACAATTTTTATTTTCCTTAACTCCTACAAAAATGGAAAAATGTTAGGATGCTGGAAAAAACTTAATGAAAAAAAAAATTAATTCAATCTTCCTTGTCAGCTGTATTCAATGAAATATGTTTGAAAGAAAGGTTGCTGCCAAAATATACATTAATTAATATATATATATATATATATATATATATATATATATATATATATATATATATATATATATATATATATATATAAAAAATGTCTGCCAAAAATGTATACACACTTCAAGAAAGGAAAACCTTGTCTTTCATTGTTTTATGAAATTGCAATAACACTGTTTATTGTTGTACAATATTTTTCAACAAATGGCGTTATGCTCATGACTGTAGCATGAGTAAGTCCAAAATGATGTTGTGTATTGCAGAAAACTGACTATATTGGCAGCCCTTAGACAAAAAAATGAAAATGCATGTGCTGCAATCCCAATGGACACTTTGGCAATACAATAGTTTGCTGTACTAATAAATACCTGAAAGCTAAAGCCCACCATTTTGAGCATCTCGTGATTGTAGAGTCCAAAGTTAATTTGTATTAATCTCTGAATATCTGAATTAATGTTTGATTAAATTTAGTTTTATAATATCTATACAAGTTTTTTGCTTCCTGACATGTATATACATTTTATTGTCAGACAAGGGGTAACAGCAAACTTGTCCATTTATTAGATTAAGCTCTGAACCGTTGTATCTTAGAAATGATTAAAGATCTGTTACAGAAATTCTCCAAGGTTTTTATAACACTACTGGACTCTACTCTGTGCAATGAGAATGTATAATTACTCTCTAAGCTTAACAGAAGTATCATTCATGATGCTATTGAACATAAACAAAAATTACAAGTTCATCATTAATTAATCATAGCTAAGGATTGGAAGCTCATGAAGGATTGAAATAAAATTCAAATATATATATTCACCCTCACCAACCTCCTAACAAGGTACTTCACATGTTTCCCGTATGATTTCATTTTCATTTTTTTTTTTCACTGCTGTTGTTGGTGAAACTCCTCTCTCACGTACCAAACATCTTATTGATTGAGTTGGATCTTTTCTAATTGATCTCTTTAGCTCTAAGTTGAAATGATGTTCACTCTTACTGTTGGGACCTCCTGATCCAGTTTTCCTCTCTACTCTTTCCTCTTTTTTAAACTTATTCACTGTTCTCTTGGTGATTCTTGAATGGGTTTTGAAGAAGAAAGCCAGAGTATGAATGTTGGTACCAATACTGAAGGCCTGAATAATCATTTTCCTTTCACCATTGCTTAGTTGGGAAGACAATGGGTCTGACACAAAATGATTTTAACCTGTTCTCTTTTTAGCTGAATTACTTAAATTGTTTTTCAGTGATTCTTATGACAAATGGTGTCAGGATGACTAAACATTTTATCTGGAAAAAGAAACTCAATTAGTTTAGTTGTTCTTTAGATATTAAACATTTTTTGGGATGGATAATTTTTCTGTTACATTCAGTATGTGTGTGTCTTGATATACTCGACTCTCCCATTGAATTCAACATATGAGGGTCAAGCAGATCTATTCCTAGGAACTGACAGACCGAGACCAGCACATGAGATTTGATTATAGTGGTGAAGGTTTTGTGCAGAACCATCCACACTTTTTGATAGGCCAAATAGAGACCTGGTGCACTACATGCCACAAGGTCCCCAAACAATCCTCTACAGATTTTGAATTCAGAATTGTCCTTTTCCTAGACCAGTTGCCATCCAAGGCTATAAAACCCAGTCTGTCCTGCTATTTACCCATAGCTGGAGGGAGAAGAAGAGGATTCATACCTTTCTCGAGATAATGGATTCAACTGGAATTCAAACTCGGCTCTCCGATTCCTCAATCTGAGCTGCCATCCATTACTCCGCTGTGCTGCCTAAAACACTCCATCCTAAAAAATATGCCTAAAAACACTCCATCCAGATGGGCTCAATCAC